CCTCCTGTATTAGTAACGTCTTATTTGCACAGCAAAATATGCAGAGCCAATGTGAGTTAGGCTTCAAACATCTTTTGTATGCAGTGGGACTTAAACGGGTACACATCTTATGGAACCACTTTTTGCATTCATCATACTGCATTCCTCCCTCCACAGAAACCAAACAGTTTGGTAGTACACATTTGTGAGTACTACCAACCATTCTAGTTAGACTAAGGTGTAAAACACAATATGATCACAGTATGAACGCAGTGTCAGTCAACGAGTAAAATTGTACTACAAGACAAACTTTAGCAAGATTTCAAACCTTAACTAAAGTACTTTGATTTAAACCAAGAATACTTTTGATTCAATAATTACACCAAAGCAAGAATAATCACAACATGTACAAAACCACTGCCCTTTTTGAAACACCGAGGACAAACTAATATGGAAGCAGAAACGATACTGTAATCGAATATTTTAACTGAAATAAATTCAATTAAAGTGAAAACAGTAGTCTTGATACGTAATAACGATCAAAACAATAGAATTTACTCAACTAGGAAAAATACCACTGTCCTTTTAATTAGTGCGTGTATGGTTAGTTCGACTTCGATAGTGATCATAAAGTCATACAAAATTGTTAGCGTCCAGCTAGAGATACAAAATCTTTACAAAAATCAACATAAATTTACATTCATGATCGAGAATACTGAATAAAAAGAATGTCTTAAAATAAATTTCCGAATGAACCATTTTCATGTAAATCAGTTGAATTATTCTATAGAAAATTGCTCTTCATCAAAGTAGTAGATTAACTTATTCCATAATTCATTTTCTAAATACTTTATAAATTTAGACTTATTATTTATGTTAATTTAATAATAGAAAAGCATCAACTGATTACAATCAGATCTTTCATTTTATGATTATTCAATAAGAACATTATAGATATTCAATCTTGAACTAAGAATAAATCAATTTCAATGTTCACATTTTGACTGAATATGATCTCATTTTTTTGTTTGTTTTTTTCGTTTAGATTATAGTGCAATTTTATTGTATTTTATTGATTAGTTTAGTATGTTTATTCATTTATATAACAACTGTTCAGTTCAACCAATTCTTTAACTAATAATGGTTGACTATAATTCGAATAAGAAATAATCGGGTTTTTTTTAATTTTTGGTCGTTAGCAATTAAATCTTCCAAGATTTTATAGTTGAATTCATGAGTCAATTAAAGGTAGACCACCATGAAAATCCTGGAAGCACTGGATGGCCATTTCCTCTTATTGTGGGACTCCTAAGCAGTGTGCACTGACCATTCTGCCCCGCGAGATTTGAACACACGATAAGATTAGCTGAAATTAAAACAGAAATGATATGTAGTATCTTATTATCAAAGTATTATGATTTCTCTTATTACGAACCAACTACTCTTATTGCTTAATACTCTGGACATTATTTCTCTTGACGAGTCACCAAATTAGAATACGGTTGAACAGGAAAGTAATTATATTCCAAATAACAAGGTTGGATAGAAATGGGAATTACAATATGAAAAACGTTAGTATGCTTATAATTTTTACATAAGAGGATTTTAGAGTCTTCTCCAAGTATCGGCTAGCGCTGATTGGTCAAGAAACAGCTAATCAGCATGTCCCCAACACAGCCCTACATGAAACATACCTAAATCCAATCTATATCCTGCTAACACGAAGTGAGGTTAATAGTTGTCACTGTGATCACAAGTATAATAAATATGCATTTACTCATTATTGATATGTCGACAGAACCTGTATTCGAAATTCATGTATGACAATCATGGTTGTCTTAGTCTTATAAATCAATTTCAATATCCTACGTTCATTAAATTGGATTGATATCTTTTGTAATTCAAGTGTGACTTGTCTTCCTGATAAAGACCATACACCATGCTATCTAATAATATTTGCTAGATTATTGATCTTGTCATATTACTTTATACTCAATGAATGTTGACAGTTAATTTATTTCAGAATCTATTTACTTACAACTAAGAGCATAAATTAGTCAGACGGAATACTTTTTTCTCGCTTAAATCTCTATGCACCAAAACTGAGCGCAGCTACTTATTAGTGGTGACCATTAAAGTTTAAATGATCTTTATGACTAGTCATTTGCTATTCAAACTGATAAATGGTTGTGAAGTATTAGAGTTCTTACTATGTAATAGTAGCAATAGAAATATGTGTTGACGCATATGCCATTGGTTTATCATTTTATATAGATATCCTACTATGATTGTAAAATACCATCATACTTCTTATGTGTAAAGCGAAGTTAAGGTCAAGAAAAGTTATAAATTAAGACTGCTTGACAAGATTGTGCGCGTAGCTTTGATTTTACGAAAGAAGATTATTATATATAAAATTAGAGCCAAATTAAGCATCTTTTTTATCAGCAATATTACCATCAAGATCACTGAAAATTAAATTGTTATAAAATGAATGCATTTTATCACGCTCCTGAAAGTTCATTTGAATGAAGTATGTGAGCAACATAATGCAAACTTGTATAAACTTGGAGTTAATTATTACATGCTGTTTTAGATTTCTGAAAACAACACATTGACAGTCGTATGAGTTCTTGTTTCAAAGCAATTATATTGACACTTTCAATGAAGTTATCACTTAATTTAATATTTGATCTCTAAAAGTACACTTAGTGGAATACTTATAAAGTTTAAGTATTAGACCATTGTTTTTTAATTATTTTTATTCCTAACTCTATGAAATGCACCTTTTTGCCTGAATTCAAAGTTAGTTGTTCTCAGTGCTCAGTATTGGTTCTTCCAGATTTTGAAGAAAATTCAAGAAAGTAGATCCATCAACAAAAATAGTACTTTTTAAACCTTTTCTTACAAATATCACGAAATGAACAGACTTCAGATAGAAGTCTATCTGAAGTTTGTGCTGATGATGTCGTTCAGAAGAACGATGAAAGCTCCACGACCTAACCATCCAGTTCAGAGAACAAAACTCCATCAAAATCATCCACCTTAGCTACAAATCTTCTTCACCATCACAGGAATCTTATCCTTGTAACGTTGTTGTACATACCAGATTTTAAAACCAGATATATCGTCTTTAAATATAACACCAATTCATAACAATATCCAACATATGAAAAGTAGGTTCCATTGCGACATTACATTGAATAATTGTTAGCACTACTTGAAATAGTAATAAAATGTCGATCTCAGTTTCCTTAAGAAGTGTGCCTTAAGAAGTTCGTGAACACACGTGATTGAATTCTGTCATATATATATATATATATATATATATATATATATATATATATATATATATTGTTACAACCTACATGGTAAAAGACTTGTATTTCTATTATTATTGCTACTGGCATATTGCATTTTGAGATTAATGAGGTAAATTAAAACTTAAAAAAAACACCATATGAGAGACAAATATAAATGATGCTTGTTCAGTAAGACTGTTTAAAATGCACTATTCATCATTTCATCTTAGACACATTTCATAAGCGGTTTTTCAGTTACCTATGTTCATGACAAGCCTAATATTTGAATAAACCGAGTCACAAGACTTGTGTATTAAATAATAACAATTTATGTACGAAAAATTGACTGATGAGTTTCTTTACCCACTGATAAAATATTTCAAAAGGACAATGGCGAAACAGATTACTAATACTATTTAACGATTCAATGAATTGAAACGTAAGCATAAGGTTATCTTAAATTATACCTGGTATGACAGTTAAATTCTCCACGAAAGCTTTATAAGATTCGACAATTTGTGTTACACAAAACAATTATCTAGAATTGTTTTCAGTTCAAAATTTATCTACTAGTGATTTAACTTCATCATCCCTAGATTGGAATAGTAATGCTTTTAAAACCATTGAGTTTAAAGTAACACTCAGCGATTTAATTAAGCTACTATGGTATGTAAAAACTGAGAAGTTTTTATCAGTTTTCCAGTAGTCAGGTAAATACACTGAAGTTTCCTACAATTCTCAACTTAGCAATAATAAATATACAGAGTATTGATAACATAAAACTGGATCAATAATAACCTTTTGCTCTTTTCTGATATAGAAGTTCATTTTCTTCTCATCAAGCATTTGTTTTACATTACAATTTCCAATACATACCAATGAACCACTTTCCAGAAAAAACCAAACCGTTAACAAATCCTTACGAAAAAAAGTAAATTCACTCGAGAATATCATATGTATATTGGAAGAGTTAATAGCCCCAAATACCCTGGTACGGCCGAGAGTGGGGAGAGTCCGCTCTTCCTCTAGAAATACTCTCACATGGCCACGCGTATATAGCCTCTGCTAGGGAAGTCCTACTCATTGCCTTCTCGTAGAGGGGTCTTGTTTACCGAATTGAGAGGACCCAAAGCGAATGCCCAACGCTTTAACCGGGTTGGTGGACATGGAGAGTCCATCTAGTGGAGTGGGAAAACCCTGATTTCAAACCAATGGTGTACATGGGCTCCAGTATCCTGAAGGAACAAATAGCGTATAAAGCAATTGTTGGTCACCGGCTACCACGGGACTGCATCTCCTTACGTTTATCCACTGCCTTGTGGATTAGACATTCAGGTCAAAGGCTTCGGGTGTGGCCCTCTTATAAGACCACCTGCTTCGGTTTGGGCACCCGGGCAGTATCACAGCCCTCGCACATACATATTCGGTGCCCCTTTGTACCAATATCTATGTGTTAAAATAAATAAATAATAAAATAACTACAATGTGATTCATTCAAATATGTAGTTGTATCAGTAGTCGTATAAATTTAGTGATTTATTGTAGTGCTTAATTGCTTTTATCATATTACTTAAATCTAACAGCTTATTTGTAATTTCATTTCATTGAGGTGTAATTACATTTTAAAAATTTATCCAGTTTAAATGAATACCCACTGTATGTAAATACAAATTGATGTCAACTATTTAATCACTTACTTTCTTATCTTTTTCTATATAGATTGTTTGGAATAAAGGAAGTTTCTATATGGCATTAAAACGAGAATTAATACAATTTTATAAAACTGATTCAAAGTCACAAAAAATACTTGATGCAATCAAAGCTGAGAAACATTTACGAAAGCATCCAGATGAATTATATTTTCCTACATTAAATTATAATCCCCAATTTGGTGCACCTGGTGCTTGTATAAATAATAATAATTCATCATCTCCATTTATAGCACGTTATGTAATTTGGGGCATGAAAAAATGCGTTAGTCAATACACTCGTCGATCTGTATGTATAATTGGTAAAGCTCATCTATCATTTATACCATCAAGAATGGAGTTTTTTGTAAATAAATTTCAAGAAGATTTTCAACCAATTGCATACGATTGTATAGAATATTATATTATGAATAAAGTAATCAAAGAAATGCAAACAAAACAATTAGATCCAAATTTCAATGTAACATTTTATTCTAGACTGCATTGTTCTAGTAATCATATTTAATACTGAATCATTAATTTCTATTCATCAATATTTGTTCCTGTAAAGTTCTATTATCCATAAGAGTTAAATATGTCATTTCTTATTCTTGTTTTGATCAATGATTTCGATAATGTAATAAGAAGACAAAGATTATCAGAATTATGTAATATATTAGCGTAATGCATTTTGAACAATCTTATTACATTATCGAAATTTATCAAAAGGACTAATTGCTTTAACCAATGATTACTTTATTTTGGGTAAATTTGTATAATTTTCGTAACTAAGATTAAATCATATTGGTGATATATTGAATAATCAAGACATTTACTGCAAAATTAAACATTTAATGTTTTGTTTAAACTTATCATAATAATACAATACAATTTCATATTGCATACTTCGAATTTGAGTTCTTTGATTGTGTCTTGTCAAAGTTCTAAACTTCTTGAGATTAGTACTATTTTGTTATATTATGTCAAATTCACAGATGACTTACTATCTAAGAACTTAATTATGGCTAGGGAGCTCTTATTATTTAAAAGGAATTTTTAGTAAATAAGGGCTTTTTGTAGTAAATGTACTACATAGAATAAAATTTTTTTATTAGGATGAATGTAACTCATGCACCAAATATATACCAGTGCACTTGGTTTTAAGTTACACTGGGAATTTGTCAGTGCCCTAAACTACAATAAATGGAATGGAATTCGGACCTGATTGAAAGGTGAGGCAATCAACTGTTAACCCACCGACTTAAAATACTTCTTTAAAAAGATTTTAGCAACAAAAATCCATGTAAATAACTTTATAAGTATAAAACTAGTCACTTTTATTTTTAGTATTGTGATGAACTTAGTCTTTATGTTAGTTATGCTATTTGCTCAAATCTACCGCTAATCTTTCTACCCTTTTTTATTGCAAAACCTATTTTAATTACAGACATTTTTAATATATTTTTACATTATCATGCTAATTAGAAAGCCATGTTATTTCTAGCTTCTTGAAAACACCTTTTAATGTATTTTGTATATCTAAGGTATTTAATGCAAAATGTAAGGTTATGAGTTGAATAAGTTGTGTTAAATGGTTTCATTGTTAAAGACAGCTTCAAGTATAGACAATGAATGTGACCAGGATATGAAAAATAGGATCCATTATTCAATAATTTAGTGAGTAACGTCCTTAAATCTTAATTTGAGTTCGTACTAGGAATTAAATAATGAAAATTTTCATTAAGATTTATCGTGTGTTTTGAGCGGGGCCTCATGGAATTATAAGAGTATATTCTCTAAAAAACTATGATCACTACAGTAGACGTATTTAATAACTCTAAGAACGAAATATTTTCTTTTAGAATGATATTTGGGGAATAACTTTGTAATTATCGAACCATATACATTAAAATCAACGATCTCTGTAACAGATTAACACTGGATATTCCATATGTTTTTAACTCATTATAATCCACTAGGATTCTGTTTCACCTTACTGCAAATGAATAGCTTAAAACCATAAGATTCAACCTAACACAATAAGTTCGTTATTTGGGAGTAATCTTATGCCCCGTGGACAATATACTTGTGAAAAAGAAATTAACTTGGAACATATGAGCAAACACGTTCTAGGAAGTCACTGTTAAAAATTTTAATTAAATGAGCTATAAATGCTACTACTTTGTAAACAGAAACAGTTATCTCCATTTTCTGTATTATCACATGCTTATTTTGCTGGCAGTGGTAATATTGGATTCATCAATTCAATTCAGAACTTAAAGCCCTTAGATTTAGGGTTGTTGAATAAACCTATCAAAATATGTACTAGGAATTTTGATCAATATAGGTTTTAAACAAACGAGTATCATACACTACAAATCAGTTGAGTTTTAAATTTGTTACTTGTGAGTTTCAAGTGGGAAAAAGTGAATCTTCAATATCAAACTGAAATGCATTGGAAATAGAAGCTTTATTATTGATTTCTGAAAAAATTCTTTATAAAAACTTGACAGTTTCATCTTGATGAATTATAGATATCAAGATTAGGCTAAAATCCAGACCTTCAAGCACACGTTGATATTGTACTTCTTGAAGATTCTTATGGTTATAAGCAGCATTTTCCAAAGTAACATGCAACTTCAGGTCAAATTGGTAATGACTCCGTTAATCTTTCAGTTCAAAATACCTTCGGTATTACAACTCTAAAATAATTTGGTAAAACCATTCAATTTCTTTGAGATAATAGACTGACACTTAGTAAATATTGCTGAAAAAGCAGGTTCTATTTACCAAACGACGTTCAAAGACAAAATTCACCGAACAATCTTTGTTACCACACAAAGTCGCCCCACGACATTCTAAACGATGTCAAAAGCGTGATAGCCTTATTAGGTTTCTGTTAGTATTAACTTTTATTACGAGAACACGATTGGTTTGATGAAAACAATTATTATTATAACCAATTGTACCTGTGCTTGTTTAATGTGCTCTTTGTTTAACTGTGCCAAAAAGCATCCATTATTCTTACGCTTTGATTGTGACTTCGCGCGAATTCGGTTACGTTCTGTAACCAAGCTTGTATCCTGGCATGATCTCGGTATCCTTTCGATACCACGAGATCGCCAGAGAATATATCTCGATTTAGTCCATCAATTGCTTTCTGATATTTGGCTTCTCGGGGATTTTATGGATTTATTTGGTTACGTTCAACCTTCGCCTTCTGATTTACTTGGCACGTGTTTCTTGGTAGCGGTGTTCATAGTCAATTTCGACTCGACGCCACGCTACAGCATCATGTTATTAGTCCATCATCATGTCCACAGTGAGTATTAACGAGTATGACTTTTGCCAAATATCTGTCACTAAAACTACTGTTAGCACCATATAACAAACCCAGTGAGCCTTCCATAATATACTTATCAAACTACTTATGAGTAAGCAGTGAGACTGAAACTCGAAAAAGGAACTAGGTATAGGAAGAAGGCAGCTTAGCAAGGACAATGTATGTACTCACCTGGTTGGCAAGTAACCGTACGTTCAGGTATAATTACCATCGAAGATGAGTACACTTTTCTTTTAATCCTATGGCACATATACGATGTCCACTAAAAGTGAATAATCAATTTTGTATATCTATGTGAAGGTGTATCTGTTTTTTGTAATGATAATGCCTTTGTATTTTTTTAATTTAACATTTCTATTGTTTACCGCATTTATGCACATTTTGTTTCTCTTCTGGTTTATTTGGGTTTATCATTATTATATTGTCTACAATTTGAGTTGTGGTCAACTCAGAGATGACGTTGATCACTGCTTCGCTTTCGTTTTCTTGAACATCGGGATTTTGGGCGGTTACTGCATTAGTCGGCCTTATTTTGGACTACTGCCGTTTTGGTTAGAATGGCTGGATTTTTCCCTAGTGCAAGAGATGTTTGACTTCCTGGTTGTTAAGAAATTTCATTTTAAACAGTTAATGATTCATATTGGAGCCGTTACGATATTTAATACAGACGTCAAATGAACACAATTGTATATTCATTCTAAAATACTATGTCTAATTGAGCATGTGGCTGTTAAATGCACTAGATTGATTCTATTAGTTAACTTGTACTCAATTTTGTTGTTAAATCGAATGCTTTACTTGCAAATCCTTCTAATATATTATAGCAACCATCCTACAATCAATTTCGATCATGGTTCATTTTAGTTAGGCCCTTTTATTAACTTACTTAACAAACAATGTTATTAGAACAGTAACAGTCCACATATTTATTTGTACTGTTATGATCGCTAGATCGCATGACAGACTCTAGCTAAAACGTTGATCGCTTAAACATCACCCGACGATTCATTCTCCTCCTCATGTAAATACGTACTCAACTCCTGTTGTTAGCTTTCACTTTACCTTGCAGTACCCCCATTCGATTTGACTATAAATTTACCTCTGTATACGCTCGCACACACACATTCGCCTCTCTGCTTCAAATTCACTTGATGTGATTGTAGCTTTGTGATCTGTGCTATCCGCTAGTAGACTGTAGTTGCCGCTTCTCATTGTCTTCTAATTTCAAACACCGTAGAAATTTATATAATAACGGTTACAAGGGTGATTAATTAACGAAGCAAAGTCACTACAATATGTATGTTTGCTTGTTTGCCCATCTCTCTACTTGTTGATCTTATTCCAGTGTTGTACTGGTCTATAAATACTCAAGAAACGCTGAATAATTGACACCATGGATAGTTTGTATTCATTTCAACACAGTGAAAATTAGACCAGTCTAATTCAGTTCTGGATTTGTTTCACTATATAATCTGTTGCCAGTATTGTTTCTATTCCAATACAACTATCGATGATTTATAGTGCCATTGTTAATATAAATCCGATTCAATTTCAAATAAGTCTAATTCTGGTATTAATCAAACACTAACACTACCCCAGTCACATTATGTTCATTCAGACCATTCTTAACTGCTACGGCAATTTGGATGACTCTCCCAGTCCCCCACATTGTACGAGCACTTCATGTACCTAAATTAATGGCTGCTCTGGTTGTCAGAAGGGGCATCAGCCTCGTGATTTTAGAAGGAACTTGACTTTCACCATGAGACGTCATAACTCTTCTAAATAAAAACCTTCTAACTCTCAAGACATAATTAAATGGTTTGAATTGCTTTTTATGGTTAGCGTTTTTTAACGAGTTAGTTTCCTACGGGATTGCATTGCTAACCCCATGCCCGACCCTCCTCCTTTATCCGGGCTTGGAACCGGCAGTAGCGGAGTTACTGTATATGCTAGTGAACTCAATTATCACAGTACACACTCAGGAAAATTTTGTTCTAGTCTTTACCTAATTCACTTGTTTTCGGCCATTGATCATAAATGTAACAAATATAACACTTGCTTAATTGGTGATATGTGGTATCTGTACTAACTGATAGTTCCTCCGTATTTGTTTCCCATAGCCAGTAGGAGCTACAAATATAATGCACATAGTTGTTCTCATCGAATTCTATCTGACTTAACTTGAACTATTCAGGTAATTCTCAGTCAAGACATCAATTTGACTACTTTTAATTGTCATATGGACCATATTCCTGAAGCTTTAAGAGCCCCTTTACCCTTTACTAAGTAGTTATGGCATATTCTTCGTGTTTCATCGCGTCCTGTTCCGAGCTAATCCAGCAAGTTTGTTGCTACGATCACAAAAATATGTAAGCTGATGTATTCGAATGACGATCCAAAGAATACATAAACACCAGATGGAGAGAATTTCAGTAACTCGAAAGCACAGCGTGGGTAGGACGTACGATGAGCAGATGTGAAGACAGTTTGGATTACAAACCACATATCAAGGTGCAGATGGATGATCAAAGGCTATATATACGTTTTTTATAAAGACTTTTCA